GAAGGTCAGGGGATCACTAACAACCACACACATCAACCAGCAGACATGGAGAAGTGTTAACCTCCAGCAGGAGGTTGGTGAAAAGCGTTTGAGGGCTGGAAATTGCTCAGTTTCAGCAAGCGGGGATGCGTATGGGTGGCCACAGGGTACGCAGTGTAACTCCACATGATATTTAGGGAGCACTTAATGTGTATTTCTCCTGGAGAACTGACACAGTGACTGTGATGTTGCAGAAATATCATTAGTGACCTAACTTGAAGGCATATCGAAAAGTGTCACTTCTCTTTTTAATACTTGTTTGATCGATTTTCAAATAATGCTCTCCGGAGTGACAAAATTAAGGTCATTTCCATCACTACTCTGGTTGTGTTAGTGGGAATAAGAAAAATAAATCCAGTGATTCTCATGGTTGCTTTCACACAGCGAGAGCGCTTTGCACCATGAGGAGGTAGGTCCAAGCACAAACACATCACCAGAGCCGGTCTGATCTCAGCTGCAACAAATGGCACATCACCTCCCATCTCAGGCTTCAGGATACACTGAATTTCCAGCACTGCAATCCAGGGATCAGAGCAAGCTCTGCCATCTCCACCTGCCATCAAACCTGGAGCAACCAGAAAGCAAGAGGAAAGGAGGTGCTAATGAGTTAAGGCCGCTTATCACGGTATAATCCTCAAGAGAAAGCCAACCAGATTTTATCAGAGCAGCCGCTATTGCGCAAAATCTCTGCTCTGTCATTTAATCCCATTCCCTTCTCTCCTATCTGCATGTTTCTCTCCTGATGAGTACCAAGAGATGGCAGACAGCTTCTGACACCCGTCTGCTTTCACATCCCTTCCCAAAAAAATGGGCCTCCTGCCTGGTCCTGCCTTTCCAACCACCATCAGACAAGTAATTTAACCAACAAAGGAGCAGATGAAATGCTGCGCCTTACAGTTAATGAAAAAGAAGACTCATCACATTTAGGAAACAGTTCCTAGCTGAAATTATTGCTATGAAAAAAAAATTAAGTACAACTGAAAAAATGTGTAATATTATAATTCCTCTCTGCAGCACATATTTGTGAGATACAAATCAACCCCATCTGCAGGATTAAAACAAAAATGCAACATTAATTTGGCTCTAAATGTTTTCTCTGCATCTTTAATAGCCCTAAGAAGGAAAACACAAATGCATTTTCATGGCCTGATGCTAAATCATTTATAGAAGACCTATTTCTGAATCAGAAATTTCCAGTACGCTACTGCTGGCGAGTTAACAGAAGCTAAAGGCTGCGCTCGGCTCCATCAATAGGAAGCATGCAATTCATGCAGGCTGGCTGCCTATGGAAAGGCCAAAGATATCACACATCTGACCGAAAATACAAGAGCTAAAAAAGCATTCAGCGGAGCAGCCTTGGGTTAAATGGACAATTTTAAAACACATTCACCAGCTGTCTGCTCCTCAGCCTTGTTTCTCATCTCTGAGATTCCTGAACTGCAATTTGCCACTGCAGCACAGCAAAAGGCTGCTGCCCCAAAACCAAATACTGACAGCGGGGATGAACATCTCCGAGCTCTTGTTTATTTGGTTTTGAAGGTGCTTTTGCAAGGAGAATTTTTGTTACTGGTCTCTAGTAACTCACTCGCTCTCTTTAGCTGCTGCTAAAGGTGGTATGGAAATACCATGCCTCTTTCCTCTTTGCACACATCCTAGCACTGCTGAAAAAGTACATTAGGCGTTTAGCAAAATCCTATGAGTATTAAGAGGAAAAGGGAGCTTAAGAATATTAAGCAAGGGGGCTTCCAAGACTTACCTGAAACCCTCCCAGCAGGACTCTCTCCCTGCATGGACTGTGCTCCACCCCACTCCCTACTTCACAGGCTCCCTGGTACAAGAAGCCTCATCCTCTCCCCTTCCATTCTCCACCCCACCACATGGAGCTCTGCAACAGTAATTCAGGTACCTGCTAGCACCAAAATGTAAAATTGGAAAAGGACCTATACATTTGCACCCTTTCTCTTTTGGAGAAAGGCAAGCTGGCACAGATCTCAGATCCCAGGCTTTGAATGTGCAGAAGCACCAGAGATACTCCCCACACTTCTTTGCCCACACACAGAAGAGGGTAATTTCACCCCAAAATCCCACTGTCAAACCCAGCACAAGCACACACCGCTGCAGAGGAGAGCACGGCATGGGGCTACACAACCCCTATGCCAAGTTAAGAGGGGAAACTGCCGCCCTTCCAGAAGGGCAGCCCAGCCCCATGTTCAGCTCTTGTGCAATTTATCCTGCCTTTCATCCTGGTAATATTTGGGCAGTCTCTTCAATTTCCTTTTATGCAGCTGATATTAAGACCTGGCTGCCAATCAATAGCCTCCAGCTCAGCTCCCACACACACACATCCTCCCGCTACTCGACTTTATCTCACAAAACCCAAAAACTTGGGTTTGTGGTTTTTTATTTAGCTGCCTGCCAGCCAGCTTTCCACCTGCTATCATATTACAAAGTTAAAGCAAATAAGAAGCAGGCTCTCCTCGGCACAGTTTCATTGACTTCAGTGGGGTCACATAAGGCTAAACCTCCAGTGAAAGCCAGGCAGAGCTTTCACTACGCATCTTATTTTTTCCTGCACTGCAGACGGTTTTGCAGGGCCGTGCTGTAAAACGACTGTGTCACCATCTTGCCTTACAGACACACTGGTCCGAAAATTCAAACCAATATCACCAGCTTTATCAACAAGCCCTGCACAGCATTGCTCAAGCTTTCAGCTCCAGAGTCGTACGAGTAAAGGAGAGTCTTGGGTTTTGCTGGGTCACCAGGTCCTGTTCTAAGCAGAGCTCTTAGGCAATGATTATTAAGCATTTGTGCCAGCGCAAGAACTCAGATTTCAAGTTCTGCTGTGGGGCAGGATGCTTCCTTACTGGGACAGCCCTGCAGCATCCTCCCT